AAAGGAAGCAGTAGTGGCTGTGTACCAAGTTGCGAAAACCAGGTCAAACCAATACTATAGATCTAAAGAAGACTACGACAATATATGAGGCTACTCCATGTTGGTCTTCATACCGTTTAAGTAGAATACTCAAATTGGATGAAGAACTCATCCATTTGTCTGTTTCCAGCTTCGTGTTTGATTTAATTAAATGAAGCATCACTTGCCCAAAAGTGCCTATTTGAATATTTGACTGGCCATTATATATTTTAACCCGATAATCTATTAGTTTTGATCACACTTTGAAGTCAAATAAGGACACTTAAACCTGATTTATTTGTTATTACAGAGTTACAGCCTGTCTAATCTATTTATACTTAAGGTAAGAATAAAACATTGATTCATTTACTTGGCAAACTAATGATGTCGTTCGCTTTTATCCGCCATGAGCCATACAGAACAGCGAGCCCTGATTAGCTCAGTTGCATCCATTGACATCGTTGACATGGTTTATCTTTGGGTCTCGTGTCGATTCTTATGAAGCAGCCTATTTTGCGTTCGTCTCGCAACTTTTGCTATGAGATGAAGTTCACTCGAAGATTGCTGGTTGGGCTCGCTTCTCACTTCAGTGCATAATACATGCCCGGCCGTCTACATTTCATTACATTTCTGTCAAAACATTCAATTAACTACCACGCTTGATGGCTACACACGTCCCAGGCCATTGTAAGCAATGGCAAGTCTGGTAGTTGAATGTCCAGCATTGGAATGAGTAGAAGGCCTCCCCATGCCAAGGAACTTCATACCCTCCCAAAAGGCTAGGGCATCTAGGCTGGGCCGAATTTCACACCTTATTTGCGTCTGGTCAACAGTAGCAAATGCAAGTTTGTCTTTTCTACTCCAGTCTCAGTAGAATTGCGACTTGGAAGAGGCCTGACTTGCTTTAAAATGCACACGTTCCGTTTTGAAATCTTCCGCCACCTGAGCTGCACACCCGAATGATGACTTGTTGTTGCTTGACTCACACGACCCGATACTGGATCCGGATAAGGTGAAAAAAGCGATGCGGACGGGAGATAAAGCCTTTTTGGAGGAAATTCCACGTACAATTCAATGGCATCCTGAGACTTTATATCCATTTCACTTATAGAAATTAATCTATCAAACTTTATATCGCCCTAAGTGACCTCATTTCTTATTAACAGTTGTACCAGATAATATAAGATGTATTCACCCTATTTCGTTTAAGATGATGAAGGACGGGTAGAAGAATTTTCCCACAATGATATGAGTAGAGATGACGTTTCCATTGAATTTCACATAGCCTTGATTTCCCAAAAGATATTCT